CTTTCTCGTTCTCTTTCTCTCTTTGTATGTTTTTTATTTACCTATTTTTATTCCGAAGACACATGCTGATACTGTTATCCGTCTGTAGGAGCGTTTCTGTATGCGTATGCATTTTTGTTTTACTTAACTTTTTTTCCTGTCGTACGCCCATGCTTTTTTTCTCGAATTTTATTTTTTATCCAATTAGTAGACGGTCTCATTAGGGTTTCGTGCGGTGGGGTCCCAAGTGAGTTCGTGAAGGGCGCGTGACGGCCCCTCACCGCATCGTGGACGTGCCCTTCGGGAGGCTCGGGCCGTGTCGCTTACCCACCTGCTGGAGCGTGTGATGATCCCCCCCTCCTTCCCTTTCCTCTTGCCTCCTGGTCCTCCGCACGTCTCCTCTCTCTTTTCTGTTGCCTTTTCTGTTCCCATGTCTTCCCTAATTTTCCCTTTGCCCCCCTCCCCCCCTCCGGCCATCCCCACGCCTCCCTTCTCAGGCTCTTTGTTCGTTGGCTTTTTCCACGTCTTCCCACTGTTTCTCCTTGCTCCTGGTGACGTCACCCCTCCCTTCCCCTTTGCCCCTACTCTTTCCCCTTGTTTGCTCGCCCTTCCCATATATCCTCTCCATTTCACCTTGACCCCTATCCCTCTCCACAGCCTCTCCCCCCCCCCCCAGTCCTCTTCAACGTCTCCCCTCCCTTCCCCCTCATCCCCTAGTCTTTCCTGCATCTCTGCCTCCCTCCACGTCTCCCCTTTTCCCCTCTACCCCCTGGCCCTCTCGGCGTCTGCCTTCCCTTCTCCCTCATCCTCTGGCCCTTCCTACGTCTCCCCCCCCCCCTTCTGGCCCTCTCCACATCCCCCATCCATTTCCTTCTGCCCCCTGGCCCCTCGCACGTCTGCTGCCCTTTCCCTATAGCCTCCACTCTTCCCTCTGTCACCCTCTCCTCCTTTTCTTGTATTTTAATCATCATCTTAGTTTCTCTTTACCTTAGGGCCGTCTTTGCTGACCTTTCTGTCTATTAACCTGTGACCCCTGGCCTTCATGAAGAGGTGGACAAGCTGTCTTGAGAGTGCCATAGATCCCCCTTTGTGTGGGCGGCGCGGTCGGAATGAGTCTGCGGGGAGCGAAGGATGGGGGGGGGGGCGTCGTGCCTCTCCTGGTGCTTATGTTGACACGGGAGATATTACCAGTTTCCTTCTTCCTCCTCCTTCTCTTCTTCTTTTTCTTCTTCTTCTTCTTCTCCTTCTTCTTCTTCTTCTCCTTCTCCTTCTTCTTCTCCTTCTCCTTCTTCTTCTCCTTCTTCTTCTTCTTCTTCTTCTTCTTCTTCTTCTTCTTCTTCTTCTGTCACTCCCTATTTTCTTCTCTTCTCTTTTCTCCTTATGTTATTTTCTGCTTCCTCCTCTCTTGTTCTCTTTCTTTTTTCTTTCTCCTCTCTTCGTCGTCTTCTGCCATCTTCTCCCTCTTCCTTCTCTCCTCTTTGTATTACCTTCTTTCTCCTCCTACTCTTCCTGCCATTTTATTCCTATTCTTCTTTCCCTGCCATTTCCCATTTCCTCTTACTTATTTTCTTCTATCATTATCCCCTTCCTCCTCCTCTTTGTTCTTCTCATACCTTTTTTTTTTACTTTTCTTTTTTCTTCGCTTCTACAATTTGCTCTTTTCCTTTTTTTGTTTGTGTCTGTTATTATTCTTGAAGGTTATTTTCGAATGGCAAGCTTCACTATTTTATATATTTATATCTCATTTTAATTATGTTGTTATTTTGTTCTTAATGGGCTGTATTTTGTACCCAGAATCGTCTTTATGAATAATTTGTTTGCTGTGTATAGCGAGTTAATTATGTGTTATTTACGATTTATTTGTATACTCCCTCTCCCTCCTCTTTCTCCGTACGCTGTTGCTCTTTCTTTTCTTTCTTTCTTTTTTATTTTCTTACTTTCTTTCTTTCTTTATTATTTTCTTTTTTTCTTTCTTTCTTATTTTCTTTCTTTTTTCTTTTTTTCTTTCTTTCTTTCTTTCTTTTTTCTTTTTTTCTTTTTTTTCTTTTTTTTCTTTCTTTTCTTTTTTTTCTTTCTTTTCTTTTTAATTTCTCTTTTTTCTCTCTCTCTCTCATCTACCCCCGTCCACCCTCCCCCACCAACCCCCTTCCTTGTATCATCGCCTTACGTAAGAAGCTTAGAGGATCACCGGGACCTGTTCCTTCCTCCTCCTTACGGCAGTTGGGAGGGATTGTGAGCAGACGTCCCTCCATTGTCTTTTGGTGGCTGCAGGACAAGGCATCGATTGGGTACACATGGGATGGGATGCAGATGGTTTATGGGTGTGTGCATGCTTGTGTGCTTGTTTGGTCACGCGGCGTGGTCGTGTGTGCGTGCGTGCGTGTGTGTGTGTTTGTACGTGTGTGTGTGTGTTTGTGTGTATACAGGAAGTGCTGACGTATTTAAGACATTTTGGGTGCAGTGAAATGTAAGCGGAAAGGGGGAACATGCCATCTCTCTCTCTCTCTCTCTCTCTCTCTCTCTCTCTCTCTCTCTCTCTCTCTCTCTCTCTCTCTCTCTCTCTCTCTCTCTCTCTCTCTCTCTCTCTCTCTCTCTGTCCCCCTCCCTCCCTCCCTCCCTCCCTCCCTCTCTTGCGTCTTGCGAAGTAATGATACAGGCGAATCTCCTCTTTGTTTTACTTGTTTGGATGTGTGTGCACACACTTTCCGAATATATTTCTTAATTCGCTGATGCAAAAAAAGAGGAAGAGAAAGAGGATTACACTCCGCAACAAAGGAGAATAAAACCGTGCACCAGCTGGTTGCAGCCAGCCATGAGGGCTGCTTCACAAAAGCCTGCCCACACCACGGCGCTCGGGGCCCTTGTCAACTTTGTATACTATTGTGCTACTTTTAATTGGGGAGAGGGAGAGAGCGAGAGAGAGAAAATGAGAGGGCGAGGAAGAGACGATCAGAGGTAGAGAGAGAGAGAAAGTGAGAGAGCGAGAGAAAAGAGAGAGAGAGGGAGAAGGGAGTGAATGAGAGAGAATGAGAATACAGGCAGGCAGACAGACTGACTTACTGACTGACTGACTGACTGACTGACTGACTGACTGACTGACTGACTGACAGACAGACAGACAGACTTTGACCATGTTTGTTGCTAGGGACAGTGACATATAATGCTTATATATGTGTTTGATCCATTTGGCTCACACACGTTATCTTTGAGTCATCTTTGAAAACAGGGACATGGAGTGATCGCAATCCTGCAACCTGTTTTGCAATATGATTTTTTTTTTTTAAGTTTCGTGTATATTACATTCATTCTTACAATGTGTACGTGCATGTGTTGAGAAATTAATTATGTGAATTTCTATTTTATGTCTATATAATGATTATTATATTTATTATGAATTAATATGTATTTTCTTTGCATAATATAGAATAGTACTGATGCTGATACATTAACGTAAAATAGAAAGCATTTGATTTTCATATCTGCGGCTATTGTTATGTATCTACATATCAATCATATACATAAACATACATATACATAAATATGTGTATATTGTAAATGCACATACATTGATATTCAGATACATTATATATACTTACAGTACACACACACACACACACACACACACACACACACACACACACACACACACACACACACACACACACACACACACACACACACACACACACACACACATATTCACCCATACCTACCTACCTACCTACCTACCTACCTACCTACCTACCTACCTACCTACCTACCTACCTACCTACCCACCTACCTACCCACCTACCTACCCACCTACCTACCTACCTACCTACCTACCTACCTACCTACCTACCTACCTACCTACCTACCTACCTACCTACCTACCCACCTACCTACCCACCTACCTACCCACCTACCTACCCACCCACCCACCTACCTACCTACCCACCTACCTACCTACCTACCTACCCACCTACCTACCTACCTACCCACCTACCTACCTACCCACCTACCTACCCACCTACCTACCCACCTACCTACCTACCTACCTACCTACCTACCTACCTACCTACTTACCTACCTACCCACCTACCTACCCTCCTACCCACCCACCTACCAACTCACCCACCTACCAACCCACCTACCTGCCAACCCACCCACCTGCCAACCCACCCACTTACCTACCTACTCACCTACCTACTCACCTACCTACTCACCTACCTACCTACCTACGTACCTACCTACCTACCCACCCGCCTACCTACCTACCTACCTGCCAACCTACCAACCTACCTACCTACCTACCTACCCACCCATCTACCTATCTACCTACCTGCCAACCTACCCACCCACCCACCTACCTACCTACCTACCTACCTACCTACCTACCTACCTACCTACCTACCTACCTGCCAACCTACCTACCTACCCACCCACCTACCTACCTGCCAACCTACCTACCTACCTGCCTGCCTGCCAACCTACCTACCCACCTACCTACTCACCTACCTACCTACCTACTTATTTATTTATCTATTTATCTACCTGCCTTCTTTTCTCCTTTCCTATTTTCGTTCCTTCATACCTACCCCTCTTCCTTTCTACCTACTCCTTTGCTCCCTTCCTTCTCTACATAATCTACCTACTAACCTACTTAACTACTTGCCTACTTACCTACTTACCTACCATCCTATATTACAATCTTCCTACATCTCTACTTACCTACTACCTACCTACCTACTTACCTACTACCTACCTACCTACCTACTTACCTACCTACCTGTCGATCATTCCACCTACAACAAACAAACAAACAAACAAACAAAAACACACGGGGACACAAGCTTTTAGGCGAGGCCAGCTTGCCAAGAACACAGGGGAGTCGATCAATAGCCGAAGTAAAGGGGGATGTACACCTTTGACTGATGTCTCTCTCTCTCTCTCCCTCTCTCCCTCTCCCTCCCTCTCCCTCTCTCCCTCTCCCTCTCCCTCTCCCTCTCCCTCTCCCTCTCCCTCTCCCTCGCGCCCTCCAGCAAGATTGTCCCAGCGGCCGCCTCACGCCCGACAAGTTCGTTGATATGTACAAGATGTTCTTCCCCTCCGGTAACGCTGAAGAGTTTTGCGACCACGTGTTCAGAACCTTCGACATGGACAAGAATGGATACATAGATTTCAAGGTGAGTGCTCGTTGTTCCGGTTCTTTAATGTTTTTTTAAGGATTAAAAAACAAAAAATAAGTTTTTTTTTTTTTTTTTTTTTTTTTTTAAGGAAAGGTAAGTTTTTTTCTGTTTTTAGAAAATAATTTGGTGATATTTTTTGTGTGAATTTGTATACTGATTTGGATAAACTTGGTAAAGATGTATATGTAAACATAAGATATGACTGAATCCTATGAACGCGCGCGGGTGAGTTGATGCGGATATAATCAGTATATACACTCACCCACCCACTTTCCCACTCACTTTCTCGCCCGATCGCTATTTCGCTTACTCACTCGCTCGCTCACTCACTCACTCACTCACTCACTCACTCACTCACTCACTCACTCACTCACTCACTCACTCACCCACTCACCACCACTCACCCACCCACCCACCCACCCACCCACCCACCCCCGGCCACCCCCACCCACGGCACCCCGTTGCCAAGGGGCGGGGGAGGAGGCAGCCTCCGAGGGCGTCCGCGGCGCTTCCCTTCCTGAGCCTCCGAGACGAAGCTTTGTTTTGATTCTGGCGATTCCTGGGGCGCCGCGGCTGGCTGGCTGGCTGATCCAGGCACAGGTGGACGAACTATTGATTTTCTTATCATTTGCCAAGGTAGTGCCGCCGCTGTTATCTCCAGCGATGTTGGTTTGAAGGCGTTCCAGAACCCTTTTTTTTTTTAGCCGCCTCAGATTCTGTTTTTGTTGCGTGCGTCTCTCCTCCGCCGTTTTCTTTGAGTTCCTAGCGGTTCCTTTTATAGCGTGTTTTTTTGTGGAGTTTATACACGACTTAAGCATTGTATTGTTTTGCTTTTTTAAGCCTCTTCCCTTCTATCTTTTCGCGTTTTTGTCTTTGATCTCTGTGTACTTTCCGTTATTTTGCGCAAGTAAGAAATTCCTGATCAGTCACTCTTCCATATTTATCTCGTTCTATTTCTATTCTCTTCTCCCTCCGTCATGCCCAGCCTTTCCTCACCTGTAGACCTAAATTTTGCACAGCAGTCGCCTCGGGCAACATTCAGCAACCCACTCCCCTTCTGTCTCCCTCCTTCCCTTCCTCCTTCCTATCTTCCCTCCTCCTTCTCCACCTTCCCTACTTCCCTACTTCCCTACTTCCCTACTTCCCTACTTCCCTACTTCCCTACTTCCCTACTTCCCTACTTCCCTACTTCCCTACTTCCCTACTTCCCTACTTCCCTACTTCCCTACTTCCCTACTTCCCTACTTCCCTACTTCCCTACTTCCCTACTTCCCTACTTCCCTACTTCCCTACTTCCCTACTTCCCTACTTCCCTACTTCCCTACTTCCCTACTTCCCTACTTCCCTACTTCCCTACTTCCCTACTTCCCTACTTCCCTACTTCCCTACTTCCCTACTTCCCTACTTCCCTACTTCCCTACTTCCCTACTTCCCTACTTCCCTACTTCCCTACTTCCCTACTTCCCTACTTCCCTACTTCCCTACTTCCCTACTTCCCTACTTCCCTACTTCCCTACTTCCCTACTTCCCTACTTCCCTACTTCCCTACTTCCCTACTTCCCTACTTCCCTACTTCCCTACTTCCCTACTTCCCTACTTCCCTACTTCCCTACTTCCCTACTTCCCTACTTCCCTACTTCCCTACTTCCCTACTTCCCTACTTCCCTACTTCCCTACTTCCCTACTTCCCTACTTCCCTACTTCCCTACTTCCCTACTTCCCTACTTCCCTACTTCCCTACTTCCCTACTTCCCTACTTCCCTACTTCCCTACTTCCCTACTTCCCTACTTCCCTACTTCCCTACTTCCCTACTTCCCTACTTCCCTACTTCCCTACTTCCCTACTTCCCTACTTCCCTACTTCCCTACTTCCCTACTTCCCTACTTCCCTACTTCCCTACTTCCCTACTTCCCTACTTCCCTACTTCCCTACTTCCCTACTTCCCTACTTCCCTACTTCCCTACTTCCCTACTTCCCTACTTCCCTACTTCCCTACTTCCCTACTTCCCTACTTCCCTACTTCCCTACTTCCCTACTTCCCTACTTCCCTACTTCCCTACTTCCCTACTTCCCTACTTCCCTACTTCCCTACTTCCCTACTTCCCTACTTCCCTACTTCCCTACTTCCCTACTTCCCTACTTCCCTACTTCCCTACTTCCCTACTTCCCTACTTCCCTACTTCCCTACTTCCCTACTTCCCTACTTCCCTACTTCCCTACTTCCCTACTTCCCTACTTCCCTACTTCCCTACTTCCCTACTTCCCTACTTCCCTACTTCCCTACTTCCCTACTTCCCTACTTCCCTACTTCCCTACTTCCCTACTTCCCTACTTCCCTACTTCCCTACTTCC